GGCTAAATCCTTTCCGGTCACCCGCCCTTCTGCCCGGCGTGTCAACCCAGCGCCCGCAACAACTTGCGTTACGCTTCCTGCCCTCAATGACCTGCGTGTTCTTGGGCCGCAAGGGTTTCGACGCCGACCAGTGGCTACGCCTCTACGTCAGCGCCGTTTACAGGTGGGATCCCACACTTATGCTCGCGAACGTCATTTTTATCTGGACGGAACCCTTCCTGTTCGGTTTGAAAACCGTGAACGTGACATTACAAGCTGGGACAGCTTCAAGGAAAAGATCCGTGAGCTTTTGGCAACCCCTTTGGTTGTTGTGAAGCTGCGAAGGAGTTGTAGACTCGGGCACAATCTTCCACGGAGTTCTACATCAGTTACATTCAGGCTGTCCTCCAACTATGCTGCCAAGCTGACGAAAACATGTTCAAGCCTGACAAATTGCGCATATTCTAAAGGGTATTACTGACGATGCGTTCAACCATTTTGTATTCAACAATGTGTGGTCTGTTGATGCGATTATTCAAAAATGCCGCTGGTTTGAACAAGCTAAAAACAGGCGCACCTCCCATCAGTTCTAGTGCCTTCCGAACACCATTGCAACATCCTCATGTCTCGACACATATCATCTACCATTGAGCAACGCAATAAAGAACTACTAGAAGACGTCGGTAAGGACACTATTAACAATGGATGGGAAGACTGGGAAGAGAACGAGCAGCCAAGAATGAACAGCAAATTGGCGCAACTGAAGAAAGCCAAAAAGTTGATACAGTTGCGACTTCAAGCACAAAAACACAGTAGAAATATGAGAAGAATAACGCAACTAAACAAGCAGACAGAATATCACTGCACACAGCTTTGCAACCATGTATAGGACGACGTGTGTGATACTAAGGACAAGAACATTACCACTAACAAAACATCGAGAATTCTCAGACACCTGCTCCATTCATCTAAGACCAAGGCAGCAACGAGGGCCGAGATGACCGTGTTCAAGCACCAACACAAGGAAAGACCTCCAGGACTCAATAATCAGGAGTACGAGGGCTCATATAAAAAAGATCTGATTAGAAACTCCTAAGAACGAGAAATCAGAGCTGTCCTGCAGAACGTCTAGACAAAATCAGCCCAGGGGTTTCACAGAGTATCTAATAAAGTTTTCGCGAACCAGGACAATCAGGCAATAAAACACCTCAGAGATTACATTTACTAGCGTTAGGCGTTAGACGAATGACGAAATACCGGACGACTGGGAGATTTCGAGCGTGGTCCTCAGTGCCAAGCCCGGGAAAGCGGCCAGCCATTCAGCATATCAGGCCAATATCTCTTATTTCTTATGCGAGTAAAGTTATGCAGCATGCTTTCGTTACTTGAATCAACAGGCATTTGAAAGCGTGTCCCATTTCGATAATTGGTTTCAGACCAGGGCTGTCGACCCACGATGCCATGATTCAGATAAAACAACAAGTGATTGACGTACCAGGATGGGGGTCCGTGCCATTCTAGAATGAACCTAAAGAAAGCTTTCGACAGTGCTCATCACTAAACCGTCTTAGAGAGAATGACACAACTCAATATAGGCATGCGGGCGTACAATTATATCAAAAACTTTCTCCCTGACAGAAAAGCTTGGATTAAGCTAGATGAGGAAGGAAGCATACAAGTCGACATGGGAAGCGCGGGTACGCCTCAAGGTTCTGTTATCTCCCGAACGATCTTCAACCTAATAATGATTGGACTACTCTAAAAGCTTAACAACATAGAAGAAACAATCGCACGATATATTCGGATGATATAACAATCTGGACAACTCAGGACACAAACGCTGGACAAATGGGGGCAAGACTCGAAGAGACGGTCGAGGCCGTTGAAAGCTACCTAGCTGACACGGGGCTACAGTTCTCCCCTGAGAAGTCAGAGCTCTTGCTTTACCGCACCAAGAAGCTGGGAAGACCCCCCCCCCCCCCCAAGGGAACTTCCGACTTTCTGTTCAAAGGCATCATTCTGACCACCAAGAGTGGCATGCTCATCCCGATCGTGTCACGTATACGGATCTTCGTGCTTTGGCTGGAGGCCAAAAGTACAAACGAAGAGACGATAGCACGCCTCAATTACAAAGCCATAGCAGCAATTCGAATAATTCAAAGAGTCATTAACAGAAGGAAGGGCATCAGGGAACGAAACGTCGTACGCATGATCCTTGCTTTTGCAATAAACCACCTCACGTACGTTGCAGCCTTCGTCCGGTGGAACAAAGCGGAAAAGGACAAGATAAATGCTCTTATGAGGAAGGCGTACAAATCAGCCCTACTTCTCTAATTGTACACCAGAAAAGAAAGATTGCTACTACGGTGGGTCCCCATAAAGTTGTACGAAATAATTGAAGCTCAACAAATGGCCTAACTTGAAAGGTTCACCAGCACAGGAGCAGGCAGAGCAATCATGGACAAAATTGAACATCAATTACAATAAATGAGGAGTCTCAAACTAATACTAACCCACATATACGAGCCAAAACTATCACTGATCCGTCACCGAAAAACATGCACCCGATATACAACGTGGAGCGGAGAAAACGCCGCACAAAAGCAATTCCGAAAAACCATAGAAAGAAAAGGAGGTCCCCATTCGTGCATACGGCCAGGTACTCCAGAAAGAAAGCTTCCACGACCATGCCGGTGGACACGAAAGGAATGATAGCGTCGTCTAGCTCAGTAAAAACAAGTCACTCAGAAGTCGCGGCAGAAGTGGCCATAGCGCTAGCCATACTCAACAGAAGTCACTGCAGAATTATTAGTGAATCCATACCGGCGATTGGTAAATATAAAGGAGGATGGATTTCTAGTGAAGTGGCCTGAATCCTAAATAACAAGGCAAAGGACTTCAACAAAACAAGCTATACACATAGGTACGTGAAATGAATTTCGGTGCACATGGGGGAAGATGAAGAGGATCCGCAGACCCTCCCGAACCTGAATGAGAAAGTCCACTTTGTCGCACGCGACCTCACCATCCGTGGTTGGGAACATTCATCTCATGACCTCTGAGCGACCGATCTTCAGTGTGATGATAACTATCAGCTTCTCACATTCTACGAAATATAGGCTCACTACAAAAAGTCACAGCTTTGCTGCAAAGCCGAAGCAATGAACGCGATAGCAACAAATTTGAAGGTCACGCGTAGAACGGCAAGCAAATCAAAACGTTCCCCACGTTTTTCACGCACAAATGATGCATGAAATGTACCCACAGGCACAGATGAACGCGAATAAGTGTCTAAGTGGTTACCTCGCCCTGTCTGAAAAACACGCACTTTTCGCAAATGGAGGATGTGCAACAATTCCAGTGACATTTGTGCGCCCGGTAACTACAACAGAATACGGACGAGACGTACGAACCTCACCACTGCAGATAAGGGCGCGTGATCGAGCGTTCACTCCCTTATTTCCCACGTGGGCTAAAGTACACGTGAGAGATGAGAGCCGCTGCGCGCTCACTATGCCCTCTTGTAGCCTCCCCCCCCCCCCACCGAGACGCCTGCCAAAAGCGGTAAGTGGTATAATAAATAGCTTGCTGTTTCAACAGCCAAGGAGGTACCCCACGGTGGCTCAGTGGTGACGCCTCGCATTCACGACGCGGAGGGCCCACGTTCGATTCCACGCGCTGGAGTCTATTTCTTCGGTATTTTATATATATAGATAGGTATAAATATACCGTGCCTGACATTGACGACGATGCCAACGCCAACAGCGAAATACAGCTGACATTGTCAAAATAATTGCAATAAAAACAAAGGAGGCTACATCAACAACCCCACTTTAAACTAGGTAGGTCACAAGAAGTAGACTGGAGGCACTTACAAACAGGAACTTTTTAAAACCCAGGGCATCTCAACCACATTTACCTTCCAAGGCGATTCCTCTACGCTGGCTGTATCCTATGTAAACACGAATGCGCAGACGTGGCGTGCATTCATTGCAAATGTCCAGACACTACATGGCTTTTCTATCACCGAAACCCGGACCTCTTTGAGAGACATTGGCCCGACACTCTGGCTACCTCTGAATTTGAAGACCAAATTAAGAAATTTGGGAAATCCTGCAGGCCCGGGAAGTGGCGGAGAGGCTACACCTTACCGCAATCATCCGGGTACCTAGGCCCGGCCGCTAATCTGCCAGTTTCAAAAATAAAGTTTTGTCCATTCCATTCCGACCTTCAAAGCCTACGTGCTGTGTGGTAGTAACTACTTCAGATTAGCAGCGGTCGTGGAAAGTGCGATGTTTATCGCTTGCGAAATATTGCACCACAGCCAAAGGCTCTGTTGAGCATCATATTCAAGGTACCACAGTCCTGTGTCAAATTTACTAAAACAATAACAGGAGACCTTCAATATCACACTTACTCATTCGACTGGCTGTGGACAAGGCGAGTAATTTATCTACTGCTCAACGCGTTCGCAACGGCCTGTAACCAGCACTCTCTCTGTTAGGCTTCGCGACCGCAACGAAAATTGGTAAAAATGAAGCTCCTTACGCCCGTGTTATTCACTATGCGCCAGTAACGTCAGCTGAGGTCTTTCTTTGTATAGCGTTGAGATGTTGCGTCAGCTCTTGTGTTGGCTATCGTTCGGGCTAGTGAACCACGAAGCACGTCATGGCGAATCGGTGATGCGTTTGAATACCGGAGAATACTCGTAGCTCTTTTGACAAGTGTTCATTGTGCCAATATACATATTTTTTTCACTGAATTGTTGTTACGCCAACGCTTCTTGCACACCGGGTTGCGCTACAAACTGTGCAAGGGAGTCGGGTTTAACACTACCCAAAACTGCGGCAACAGGTAGCGCTACGTGCCTCTGACAAGAAATTGTGCTCATGTTGAGCATTAGTGAAGCTACATATTCCTTGTACGGCAAAATGAAACAAAAATTGTAAATATCAGCTGAGCATAGAGGAAAGGAAGAGAGAGTATAGAGCACAGCATCTGCCAATACATGAGGTACCCACCTGCAACAGCAGCCTGAAGAGGTAGCGATCGCCGACATGGCTGCTCAGCCATCCTGGGATTTGCCAATCCAGGTTGATGCCGCTCAATTTGTACCGCCACACCATGCGCATAGCAGACCGAATGAACCTGACGAACAAGAAAGCGTTTTTCGTCATAACTGTGGTTTGGTGATATGATTACGAGGAACGCCATAGTGAAAGGCTCATGTAATGGCGAAAACCTGCTTTTGTCTGACGAGACCTCTGACAAAAAAAGTTTTGTTTGTAACATTTTTTCACTCCAATTTGCAGCCTTCCATCTGGTAATTGCCAACATTCAATGGTATATGCTCTAACGTACCGTATCTATAATCCTAGGGTCACTAATTATTATCAATTTTAACGTCACTTGGTGTTCCAGGTTTTTTTAAATTGAAGCATTTCTGACGAACTTCGGTGACATATAGTCTATCTATCTATTTATCTATCTATCTATCTATCTATCTATCTATCTATCTATCTATCTATCTATCTATCTATCTATCTATCTATCTATCTATCTATCTATCTATCTATCTAGCCGCCAATGACTTTTACCTTTCCTGGCCGCTTCGATAGTTTTATCGGTACCAAACTTGTCATGACATAACATGACTGTATGGCGAGCATAAGTGACTAGTCATAACATGAAAATCATGACATGTATGACATTAATGTCATGATTTTCATTTCATGGTCTTGTTGTTTTGCGGTCATTTCGTTCACATGACATGTTGCAAACTGTTATGGCATGACATGACTGAATGGCGAACACAACTAACAGACCCTAACAAGAAAATAATGACGTGTTTAATGTAACAAAATGATTACATGCCACACTCATGACGCGCTCGCGGCCGTTTTCCTAGCTTCGCATATACCAAAATTGGTATTACGGGGCGGGAATAGATAACGAAGGTTTGTGACTGATGCAAACATGATAATCATGAGATGCGTGTCATGTAAACACAAGACTACATGCCACGCTCATAATGCGTTCGCGGTCGTTTCGGTAGGGTCACATGTACCGAATTCAGTATTACGTGACGCGAACGGATGACATAAGTAAAGGACACATCCAAACACGATAATCATGACATGTGTGTTATGTAACAACATGACTACATGTCATACTGAGAATGCACTCCTGGTCATTTCACTAGCTTCACATATGTAAAGTTTGGTATTACGTCACGTGAATGGATGAAGGAGGTGTGTGACTGGTGCAAACATGATAACTATGATATGCGTGCCATGTAGGAATATGACTGCATACAACACTCCAGGCGCCAATGCACTCGGGCTTGACCCGGCGCGCGTGCGCGCTGGCATTCGTTTCGTCGCTTCACACCAGCTATGCGATGCCAGGCGCCGATCTGCCTGCCGTATACTTGCTGGCGCACGCCACGCTGCGTTGCTTTGACGCATGCGCGTTTGAGTGCGCCCGGCGTCTCTTCGTACCGAAGAGAGGCAGACATAGTGCTGTGTGGGTAACTTCATTGGCACGAAACGCAGCATGTTGCATGCCGCATTTCGTGCCATTGGCCCCTGGGTCGCGTTGACGGACGCTGATCACTCTGGTCGCGCCTGACGTCAGACGTAGAGTGCTCACGTTTTACTAGGGTAGCGTCACTGCGCCCATCGTGCGTGCGCGTCAACGGTACGTCGGAGTATAATGAACCCTTCATGATGCACTCGCGATCGTTTCTATAGCTCCATATATACCAAATTTGGTGTTACGTGACGTCCACGGATTACGAAGGTATATAACTGGTGCTAACAAGATAATTATGACACGCGTGTCATGTAGGAACATGACAAAGTACCACGCTCTTGATGCGCTCACGGCCGTTTTGCTAGTTCAACATACTGTAGCGATCTTCAAGGAATCAGGGGTTTAATAAAACGTATTTATTAAAAAGGTGAACCTGTGCTCACAACTCAGTGACAGTGTTCGTAAAACTGCGCGTCAGTAGAACAACAACGATATCATTCAGCCGCCTTCTTCTTCCTTTCCGCGAGATGTCCCGGGCACGTGGCGCATATCGGCCGTGTTTAGATGGGTGTTCTTGCCATCATCATCTCTGTGCGGCACAACACGGCGCGCATGGGCGGCACCCGTGCACGCGGTGATGAACACATTGTTTGAATTCAGGCAAGATGTACGGCATAAACCTCCTCCTCATACGCATCATCCCAGTGCGTCAGGCAATGAATAGATTCCTGGTAGGGGTCACTGGTTTTCCGGTGATCTTTCATAGTCACGCTTCATCCCAGCATTTAAAGAACTACAGGTGGTCTAAATTTCCGGAGCCTTCCACTACGGCGTATCTCATACTCATATGGTGGTTTTGGGACGTTAAACCCCACAAATCAATCAATTCATCCCAACTTATTGTACAACCCCTGAAGGGTTGCGGCATTTTGAGCTCCCGTGTACATTGGATTCGACTATTTACCAAAGTTGGTATTACGTGACGTGTATAGACGACGAAGGTAAATTACACATCAAAACATAACAATAATGGCATACGTGGCAAGTAACACTTAACTTTCTACGCTCATAGCACGCTCGCGGCCGTTTCGTTAGCTCCACATATACCAAATTCGGTATCAGGTGGACGTGAATAAAGACGAAGGAAAATGACCCGACCAAACACAATAATTAGAACATGCAAGTCATTTACGGCATAATGAAGCTCCGTCCCATAGTGTTGTGCCAATTTTAGAGTGACATATCAACTTTCCTCTATCGTGCTTCGCATTCATCGATTCCGACTGTACGTGCGATCTACCACTTTTTACAGGTGAAGCGCAAGAAGGTATAAAAAGGACTGAGGGCTTCTCCTTGTTGTTCTCTTAGATCATTGTATATTGTTTCGCGCCTCACCTCTATAAGTAGAGAACTTGCATTTTTCGTTTCAGCGGCTGAGTACCGAAACATGCGCTGTGCCGCCTAATATTGTTCTTCTGGACGCATTTGATAAAGCCCCGCCGTGGTAATCTAGTGGCAGAGGTACTCGGCTGCTGACCCGCAGATCATGGGATCGAATCCTAGCTGTGGTGGCTGCATTCTTGGTTGAGGCGGAAATGCTGTAGACCCATGTGCTCAGGTTTAGGTGCACGTTAAAGAACCCCAGGTGGTCAAAATTTCCGGAGCCCTCCCCTACGCTGTCTCTCGTAATCATATGGTTGTTTTGGGACGTCACGAGGCCATGACATGGCCAAGGCAGCAGACTCGGTAATCAGATGAAACTTTTTATTCGGGCCGAATTTGTGGCAACAAACGCAAAGCCAAATTAAAGCAATACACGCTGGCACGATAGCGGTGAACAGAGCATTGGCCGTCGATCAACTGACAAGCGGGGAAGAATGTAAGCATTTATACACTTGCCATCAAACAATCTAGTGCTATCGGTAGCGGCTACGTACGTTCCAGAATAATCTGAAAGGTTCACGAGATGAGCGTAATCCTAACAAAACGATCTACTACTGCCTTGAAGCTTCTCTAACACCATTGGTGCGTATTTCGCTAAACATAGTCTAACGGGGCGATAATAAAAATTGAGGAAAGGAATGTGGCGTTGCCACGTTCTGGAAAAGACATCATCCCGATGTTTAGCAGAAGATGAAAGTACGAAAAAATATAGCATCAACAAACAAGCAATAAATTACGTTACAGCAGCAGCAACTACAACAACAACCACAACAACAAAATCAACTGTTTCAGTTCGTTAATGCGCATGAAAAGGCTTCATGCGCATGCCATAGACGACTTCCAGCCGGGATCGGTGTTGAAGAGTTCGTAATGCCGTCGGGGGTAACCTCCTAATCGAGTGGGCCGAGGCTTCGAATTACCTAGTATAGTCCAAAATAGCATTGCAGAAACTTTTCACTGAGTCCACGTCGGCGTATTGGCATCCATACTCAAACACGTTCACCGGTTTGGTATCCAACAAAGCGTCGTCGAGGATCGTAACGGCGGCAATCCGTCCTCTGTTGGTTCTTAATGCGCAGGTGCGCAAGTTGTCGGGCCTCTTCAGCGTGCTGAAGGTACTTGCTAAGATCGAGGTTTTCTTCATCGTTGACGTTGGGTAACATGGCGTCGTGTGTCGTTGCCGGGGTCCTTCCATAGAACAACCTGTATGGCGTTATCTGCATCGTTTTTTTTTACGGCGGTGTTGTATGCGAAGGTCGCGTACGGAAGGATGGCATTCCACGTTTTTGTTTGACGTTGATGTACATGGTCAGCATATCGGCGATGGTCTGTTTAGGCGCTCAGCGAGACCATTAGTCTTTGGGTGGTACGCTGTTGTACCACGGTTACTTGTCTGGCTGCATGCCGAATTTGCTTGGGTTATATCAGCAGTAAATGCCGTACCTCTGTCGGTAGTGAGACCTCCGGGGCGCCACGATGCAGGACGATGTTTTCGACGAATAATTTGGCTACCTCCGATGCACTAGCTTTATGAAGAGCTTTCGTCTCGGCGTAGCGGGGGAGGTAGTCGGCAGCTACGATGATCCAGTTGTTTCCGACAGCGGACGTCGGAAATGGCCTAGGCGATTCCATACCGATTTGCTGGAACGGATGGCGAGGTCGTTCAATGGGCTGCAGATGACCTGCTGGCCTTGCCGGTGGTGCCTCACGTCGCTGGCAGTCCCGGCATGTCTTTACGTAGTGAGCGACGCCAGCCGCAAGGTTTGGCCAGTAGTATTCATCTTGTAATCTCGCACATGTGCGGAAAAAACCAAGGTGACCAGCCGCTGGGCCGTCGTGCAGTCCTGCATAACTTCCTGTCGCATTGCCGAAGGCCCGACGATAAGGTAGCGGACTGCGGCAGGAGGTAAGTTAGTCTTCACGAGAATGTTGTCATTAGAAAATAACGCCAGTCCTCACCTGAAGACAATTGAGATGGCACTGGCTCGGCCTTTTATGTATTCCACTAGCCCTCTCAGTTCCGAGTCGCCTTGCTGTCGCTCAGGAAAGTTGTCGGCACCTATGATTACCAAGAAGGACTCATCACCGTGGTCGTTCCACGGTGGTGGATCGACTGGGACACGAGACAGGCAGTCGACGTCGGAGTGTTTCCTTCCAGACTTGCACATGAT